TTGGCTTCGAATTCTCAGTAGAGAAACATAGCTTCACTTTATCTGAAATGTCTGAGTTGAGTACGAAAACGATTCCTGCATTGAAGATGGATTTTGCAATGTTTGCTGTCCATGCGCACGAATCTGTTCTACTCATCAACAATGATAACTTGGAACATGGATACGCCAGGGTTTACAGAGCTTTACTGCAAGCGACAGGTAATGTTAGACATTAGAAAGATAATACTACTAAAACTCGATGGTCTAGGTACCAGGGTTTGCATGACATTGTAGCTATGAAATCAATGGAATGAAAATTGTAAGAAACTTATATTTAAAGGTCTTACGCTTTAAAAATATCATACTGTTCACGAGGTTGACTACAAACAAAATATGAAGTGATCAACGTGCTCCGACGTACAGGAAGTGTTTTATTGCGTATATCTTTTAAACATAGGAAACCCAGATTGATCCGATTTTCTGACAAGAGCAACATATTCATGCTTTTGATACATGAAGTGTCTTGTTTCTGGCCATTTTGACTTGGTTTAGCAGTATAAACAACTGATCTAGCAGCAAACATTTGCCACATTTCCAAGAATGCAATGACTATTTTCAATCCAAACTTGCATAAATATTTAATTGTTCACCGTCGACGCCTAACAAATTTTACAGTAAAATACTGTGTGAATTTGTCTTTTTTGGGGACGGGGGTAGGGGCTGGGGGTTACAGACGTAGGGACCTTAATTCAATGTGTTATGTTAGATTTTCTCTCTTGTGAGCTTTTTGACCGCGGTCTAGATAAAATGTGTGCTGAAAATTGAAATTTCACTTGCTGCCGAAGCAGTACAATAGAGCAAATTTAAGGACGGTCTTTTTTATTCCCTGGTGAATAATAAAGAGATTAGATTTATATAGCGCTAAAATTATAAAATAGTCTAAAGCGCTTTACATTGTAAGATTAAGATTACAGTAAAAATATAGGAAAAATGTATATAAAAATAATACAATTTAAAAAACATATTATAAGACTATGGCATGCTATGCGCTAATTATAAAAAAGTAGGTTTTTAACTTTGATTTAAAAACAGTCAGGGTTGGACTTAGACTTATTTCACGAGGAAGTTTGTTCCAGAGAAAAGGTCCAGAGTGTGCAAAGGCGTGATCACCAAATGTCC